CAAAGCGGCGGGGGGGCTCCTCGGCCCGGGGCGGAAAGGACGCGTCGCCCCAGCCACTTCTTCCGCAGCAGTCTGCCTCTTACCCAGGCGCAGGCTTCCACGGCGGTCTCCTCTCCCCCGAGGACAGCACCGCAGGCAGCCCACAAATAATCAGTGCCTAAGGCCAGCTTGGCTGAGCAGGCAGCCAGCGCCCCCAGCAGGCCAGCGCCTGCGGCGTACGTAGCCCCCAAAGCCGGCGGCATAGTTTCTCCGCCCCGCTTTCGAAAAGACGGCGCTCGACTGGGGAACCGTCACGTGACGACCTGACTCCGCCCTGTTGTTATTCTCCAAAGGAAGTAGCCCGTTACAGCTTGCTATACTTCCCTATGGATATCGTGTTGTAGACCGCCTCCGATATTTGCGCGGCAGCCTAACTTCTTTTAAACGTCCGAATGAATGTTTAAGTGTATGAAACCTGTGAGCTAAAGTTAGCCTTCACGTGCGCTGTAGGGATGCTACAGAGATGCTGTGGGTGGGAATAAAGTGAGGGGAGACACAGTAATGTTACACTGCTTTGAAGCTCTAGAGAAAAGTTGGATTTGAATGCATAAACAAACCGCTGCCACCAAGAATAACGTATGTACTTAAGGAAGCCTTCCTATCCAAAGATAAAACCCAAGAGACTTTCCTCTTGAGGGTTGTTGGAGGTTTCCGATAATATTTTGCATCTGGTTTTATTATTCCATTCATATCAGTCTGAAGACAAAATGATAGTGGTGTAGTTGATTATAAATGAAATAATGTTAAAACCATAACTGTATATCTGGAAATCATGGAAAGTAAAGGTTTTTCTTGCATGTTACAAACGTGGAGTGAAGCAGTACCACAATATGGAAAAATATGATGGTCCACCTTGACACCTCCAATCAAAGCATCAAAGTGTCACAAGACTCAGGACACGTTTGCTTTGATGGAACATCTTCTGCCTACAGTGTCAGAAGGCTTTAATACTGGTACAGCTAAGGATGACTTCCCCTTCATGGATCACTGCCTTGTCGTGGTGAAGCGGCTTGCGTAACTCAGTGAAGCCATGAGCTATACTGTGCAGGGCCACCCAAGACGGACAGG